AGCATTGATTAGGGCTATTGCCCTGTTGTAAAAGCTGTCCTTGAGTCTGTTTTTTCCGTGGCCTCAGCAACCTGAATCTCCTCCCAGATGGGAGGCAGATTAAGCACCCGGTGTCCTGGGTGTGTGCAATCCTGTAGGATGCTGCATACCCTCTTGAGGCAGCAAGTGCTAAACTTCAGGAATGTAAGAGGATGTCCAGTGATTTTTGGGGCCATATTTAATGACCCTTTGAAGTGCCTTTTTGTGTGCCATTGTGCAGCTAGAGAACCATACAGAGATGCAGTAGGTCACCACACTTTGAATGGAGCAACTGTAGAAGATGATCAGCAGCTCCCACTTAAGGTCCATTTTTCTGAGGGTTCTCAGAAAATGGAGATGCTGTTGGGTCTGCTTTATAACCTCTGAGGTGTTTGAGGTCCATTGGAGGTCTGTGTCTATGTGGACACCCAGGAACTTGAAGCTGGATACCATTTCCACGCACTCCCCATTGATGCTGATGGGCTGCAGCTCAGACTTCTTTCTTCTAAAGTTGACTATAGCTGTTTTGTTTTGGTGGTATTGAGGCCCATATTGTTGTCCGCACACCTGTCTGACAGCCTCTCAAACTCAGCTCTGTATGCTGTCTCATTGCCCCCAGAGATGTGCCCCACCACAGTGGTATCATCTATGAACTTATTTACTGCATTGTCTGGGTGGGTACTGACACAGTCATGTGTGTGTACAGTAGAATGATCTTCAACTTAAAAACTTATGCTAGTTTAGCTCATCTAAAATTAATCAAGTATTTGGCATCTTCAATAAAAAAAATTGTGATTGTTTTTTTTTTTGACCTAAGAAAAGTAAGTTTTTGATACAAATAACTACTGCTAGCCCTCACCCCTTACACGCCTTATGTTTGTTAGGTTGAGGAGGAAAGACGCACTGAGTCTCCTGTGCCCTGGATCTCAGATAGAGGGTCAGTTCATCAGTTTCATACCACTTTGTAGACACGTTAGAGACACAGCATTCACTAGAGATTCAGCAAGACAGAGTTATGGTGAATACAAAATTAAAAGAAAAATTTTCCCCCCCCAGTACTGAAACATCATTTGTCTGTGTTGCAGTATAATGGCTCCTCTGATAGCTGAGTATGATCGGCACATGGAAGAAATGACTGAACAGCTGCAGAGATATCAGGTAAATCAACAAAACAACATCCTGAAATAATAAAACATCCTTCATCTGAAATGTTCGAATACACAGGCGTGTGGTGGTGGGTGCTTGATGAAGTGATGTGATTTATAGATTTAAGTCCTTGAAATCTATTAAACTGATAATTCAGAAGTCAAAGACTTTGATAGAGGTAGCTGGGAAATAAATATCTTAATCCTGAGATTTCTTGGTCATCTGATGCATTAAATATGTCGGGATGTTATCAATGACTCTCAGTGTTCACGTACAGACACAGATGACAGATGTCAAATTGAAGTTGGAGAGGGTTGTCAAGGAAAATGAAAGGTAAAAAAATATATAAATCCACTCATGTTAATATATAATAAGTTGGTTGCACAACAGAACATGACAAATGTACTAATATTTTCAATAAGTTAAACCTGTCATAAGATATGGCATTATTCAGTATTGTGTGTGAATTTGTTACTTGAATTATTTTACATTCAGTGGCTGATTGATTTTCTATGACCTACCACAAATCAGGTTGCTGTAATTAGTGCGCTCATTTGTCTAGTAATTAGAGCTTTGATTAGAATTCTGGCATCTTGACCATTTGCATTCCAGCTAAATAATTAACCTAATGAAGGTTGTTCTATTTTATTTAGCACTTAAAACTATGCATGCTGTTAATGTATTTATTTATTTCTTTTTGTGACATAACATCTTAAGTCTGAATACTTTTTCCAGGCTTCATGCAGAGCTGAGAGAGTCTGTTGAGAAGCAGCTTCATGCCCTGCCCACAGCTTCAGGAGTAGAGGGCAGCACGTTGGAAGAAGATGCGGTCATCAAAAATCTCCAAGAACAGGTCCAGCTGTCTGAACAGGTCTGCATAAATGTCCGTTTGATATGTCTAAACGTTTGTAGATTAAGACACACTTTTTTTCTTCTTTTTTTTATATAAGAAACACATCGTGTGTGGGGCCTTTCTAGCCTGTGTGTATATCCATCAGCCTGGAGTTTGAAGTCACACATCCATAGGTCTTTTCTGCACTCTTCTGTTCTTAAACACCAGGAATTAGAAGCTGACAGAGTTTTTCAGTACGCTGAAATTTCTACATGTGTTTTCCAAAACTTGAAAGCAAGCACATGGTGTCAAGAAATGCCAATATTTTAAGGAAGGAATTCTTATTTAACTTTAGAAAAGGGAATCATCTTAAACTGTAAAGTGTATTAATCTAAATTTGCAACTCGCTCAACCCTGAACATTTGTAGAATTCTTGCTATAATAAGGAAAGAATTTAGAAAATTCATCCTAACTGTGTTACAGAAGTTTATTCAGTTGCGTCGTGTTGCTGTTTCTTCTATTTTTCAGTCCATTTCAGCTTGATGTGGCTTAAGTCTGTACAGACCTTGTGTCATTAGAAAGACTCCTTGTAGGTCTTTGCTTCAAAGGTTATCTTGCTATAAACTGAATCTGTGACTATCCAACCTGTCTTCCTTTAATACCTGGCTTTTTCTCTTTGTCCTGATAAGATTTGACAGTACTGCTTATCAGAGTAGGGTGTAGTCTTAATCATGTATCCAAGGTTGTAGTAACAGATTGGTCCAGTAAGGTTAATTGTGATCATTTAAGTTCTTTTCTGCATGAAAGCTGTAAGTTAACAAATTCCTTAATTCCTGAAATTTGTTTGTGACCATCCCCCCGGGTCCAAGTGTAGCCTAATTCGCAGTGTGGTTGTAAGCAATCTAAGATCAAAAGAAACTACATTTTTAGAGCTACAGTGTTTAGTTGATTGTTTGATTAAATGCTAAATGGGAAGTTAATCGGCACCAATTTGCAGGTATCCGTAAAAAACTCTTACTTCTTAGCTGATGCTTTTTCAGCGTCAGGGTATGCCAGTTTGGTTTTTTTTGCCTACTGTATGAGAGCTACAAAGATGTATTAGGGTTTTGTCTGTTCATTCACTGACCAACTAAAAGCCATATTCGCCTCGGATACAGGTTAAACTAAATATTCAGGTAATCGACTTAAAAATGTAATATTCTAACAATAATAAAGCTTTTTCTTTTTTTTGTTAACTCATTCACTGCCAGCCATTGGCAGTGAATGAGTTAAACCCATTGACTCATTCACTGCCATTGACGGCTATAGACGTCAATGGCAGTGAATGAGTTAAGTAGCACTCAGAATAAATTTTTAATGTTTGTGAAGCTGAAATGTATTAATGGGTATGTTTATTTTGTATGGACACTAAAACCGCAACAGGGCCTTGGCTGAGCTGAAGTGCAGCTGGAATTTAGCTGGATGCTGTGAACATTCATCGTGACTGGAAGTTAGATCAGACGATCAATATTATTTTGATCTCTGTGGATTCAGTGGAGAGCACAAGGAAACAGCCACTCTGGCTTTGTCAGAATTGCTTTCTGACAGTTAAACATTTGTACCGTCTGTGTATTCTTCTTTTTTTTACATATGCAACATTGGGAAATGATACATAATTCTTCTTGAGTAGTGAGTTCACACGTTTGCACTAATAACTGAAGACAGCAAAGCCTTTCCCAGCGGCTCCACACACTCTTTTAATGAAGCTGTCATTTTTGCACTTTTTAATAATTCTGAACAAAACCCAGGTCATTTTTTGGATTCAGTGGTGATTTGTTATCCCGCTAACAAGATGCAACACACGTTATTTAGAAACCATTAGTCGTCTTTGAGGGAGAAGAGTTGTTTTTTGTGTCTGGAGTAATGATCTCTTGTGAATGCAGAAAGATGTTTGGTATTCTTCTTCCAACTCCTAGTAAGAAAGTTAACTCTGTGTCAAAATGTGGGTGGATATTGTTTGCTGTATGTGTTCAGGAGCGGATGCAGGCCATGGAACTGTGGCAGACCACAGCCCAGGAGCTGGATCGCCTCCAGCAGGTCTACCAGAAGACAATCTCTGAAGGACAAATCCATGACTCCCAGAGACAGCAGCTCAAGGTTCAGTATTCTGAAATGGAAATGCAAAGCCAGAACTTGATTAGAACAATAACCTCTCACCGCTAGATGGCGCTATTATCATTGTAATCAAGTTAATTAGAGCACTTTGGCCTTAGTTAATGTGGGATATAAGGATGAGGTAATTACTGTTAGTTAACTTGACATGAATGCCCCTTTTTTCATCACAGGATCAGCTTGTTCACTTTCAGCAGCACACATACAAACTCCAAGCGGCCAATCAGAAACTGGAATCGGTAAGTGACGGTTAATTAAAAGTGTGTTAAATTGCTGCCTCCCAATTAGCCACGGTATTGAAATGTTATGCACTTCTCTGAAATTGACCCTGCTCTAATAATTAATCTTTTAACTAAGCGAATTGGTTTTCTAAATCACTCCTGTAGTCACCCAGAACTGTCAGGCTGTATAATTGACTGTCAGCTCACCTGGTAATCCTCTAACTAGATTCTTTTTAAGTCGTACTCTCTGCTCTCCCTCTGCCGCTCTCTCTCTATCCTACAGTCACAGATAATTCAGCACTAGAGATTATTTATTTATTTAGAGACACGACTGACCTGTATTTGGGCTTAACCTTGCTCGGAGATTAAGGAGTACAAAATATTGTGGATTTTTTTTATTCACACAAAAACTTGTGAACGCACATACACACACGCCAGGTGCTTGGTCACAATACACTGTATAAAGAGATTGTATAGTAATACTATATCCCTCTAATGCATTTTTAATGGGAAGGCAAGCTTTAGGTTCTCCCCCCTCTGACTGTTCATGCAAGCAGCCTGTTTCTTTCACAGCATGGAGAGTGACTGGCTTTGTAGTAATCACTGACAGAGACACCTCGGGGTTTAATGTAAAAGGACACTGAAAAATGTATTAGAGACAAGGTTGATTTGGATGTTGTTAATGTTGGAGCTGTGTTTGCAATCATGCCACACAAATGGCAGTCGTGTCTCTCTTGCCACACACAGACAAACCAGCAGTTCCTGAAGACAGTGACAGAGCAGAGCACGGAGATGGAGGAGCTACACAGCCAGCTCAGGTAACAGGCTACTGGCTGCCATCAGAGGTCATGTTCTGTTAGTGTGTAACTACTACACAACATGCTACACTGGACTGAAAATCACCTTCTCCCATGTCCTGTAACTTTGTGTAAATTGAAGTTGTTTCATAAATGGAGGTTATATTTGAGGAAGAGCAGTGTGAAGTAAAAGTCTCAAAGTGTCCAATAACACGACATCTCTACCCCTGAGTTCTTTTAAGTCTTAAAGTTTAAATGTATGTTTTAAGCTGTGAGCTTGATATTTGCCAAAAAGACATCTTTTCAACTGACATTTAGCAAAAATGAAGAAAATTAGGTTTTTTTTGTTTTGTTTTCTCTTGTTTTTTTTTTAATTGTCCAAATATATTTTTCAGTAACCCAGACAGGCTGCTATAAATTCTAGCTGACAGTTAGTTTGCTATTTAATTTGTGTGGGGTTTTTTTTCTCCTTTCTCTGTCCTTATGTAGGCAAGCCAAAGCTGAATTGAGGACAGCCACAGCCAAAGTGGATGAAATGACCAAGCTGTTGCAGAATCTCCAGGAACAGATGCAGAGACGGGTTAGAAAAAAAGAAAATATAAATACATATATTTGCCTAATTCATGAATATTCATGAAAAAAGACCAATACTTTACTTGTTTCAGGAGCATGAAAGGACTCTTGATTTGATCAGTTATAGTTGAGATGCTGAAAATATTGCACTCTGCATAGTTTTTTTTCCCCTAATCCCTCAAACTAAAGCTGGAATTCTGCATTTTGTACTTTTTTCCCTTTTTTTTTCAACATAAGTTGTGTGTGACAAGTTAAAAAATGTCAGCCTATCTGTTTTAATAATCTGAAATTAGATTCCTGCATACTTACAACTCTATTTTGAAAGACAGATACAGTTATGGCCCTACGTTTAGACAGTGTGTCTTTGCTTTGATTTTAAATTTTAAATCAAACGCTGCAGACTTTCAGCTCTAATTCAAGGCTTTTAAAAAAAGTACTGCAATAACTGTTTGAACTGAATTACTGACAATTTTATATATAGTTGCACAAATGTCTAATGCCTGATTATTACATGAAAAGTTAAGTTAATTCCAACTGTTGAACTTGAAGAATAGCATCTAACCAAGTCAAGAGGATTCTCAAACAGGTACACAGGCATGTCACTGTCAAAGTCTATGATCAAGAGGAAGACGGTAAATACAGAGGGTTTACAATAAGCTGCAGACAACTGGTTACACTAAAGTATAGGAAGCCCACATTAGTCTAAGAAAATATTTAAAAGAGCCTGCTAGGTTCTGAAAATAATGTTTAGACAGATGAAACTAAGATTAACTTGCGCCAGAATGATGAAAGGGTAAAGTATGACGGAGGGAAAAAAAACGCCTCATGAGCAGAAGCATCTCTCAAACACCGTGGAAACTTGATCACAAGTGAGTTAGGGATGTTGTTATTGCTGATACAGTGTTGAATGAACAGAGAAATCCTCTTTCTGGATCGTGCTTCACTGTGCTAGTGGATAATGATACAAAGCCCACTGCGAAAGTAACAAAAATTGAGTGTTCTTTAATGGCCTAGTCAGTCACTTGATCTCAACCCAACAAAGTTACTGATGAAAAAACTAAAAACAGAAAATAACATAAACTGAAGGCAGCTGCAGCAAGGGCCTAGCAGAGCATCTCAAGGGAGGAAATGCAGCATTTGATAATGTCCATGAATATTGACTTCAGATGGTCATTAACTCCAAATGATTTTCATTCAAGTACAAAAAAACCCTCCATTTTTTTAAATTTAAAATTGTTAGTTTATCCAATGACTTTACTAAAGTGTAATTCAGTCACATCTTGATCTTTTTGGATGGAGGCAAAATAAAATAAAAAATGGTGTCCTTGTCCCAAACTCCGGACCTAACTGTATGCATATGTGTTTAGGAAGAGGACATGGGTGAAGCACGGGGCCGTGAACACGCAGCAGACAGACGACTGCAGCAGCTTCAGGCAGCCCTGAGCCAGCTGGAGACCAGGTCAGCCCATGTTAAACTGTTGGCTTTCACTTGCTGGCTGTCAGCTAAGATGGAACAGTGGTTGAGATTAGGAAAGCACTGCCAGCGTATTGATCTAATAGAAAGTCATGGAATTTTACATCAGTGCTTCAGTGTTTATGGGGTCAAGCAATAGTTTTCTGACTTTCTTTCTGCTGCTGGGTATCTTTTCTTTTCTGCAATCCCAGGCTAAAAGCTGCATCACAGGAGGCAGAGGCAGTTCGCAGAGAACAAACTGTGTGGGAGCGAAAGGTGGGGGAACTCCAGGCACGTTGCACCACTCTCGAAGAGGAGAAGTATGAAGCCCTGTCTAAAGTTCGAGAGAGCGTTCAAGTGGCCGAAGAAGCCACATTGCACAAAGACCAGGTAAATGCAGTTACTTTGGACCTTTCAGTGTTTTATCGCGTTTGTTTTAAATGGCAGAGTCGTCTTTTTGACATATTCGACTGCATCTTCTAAATAGTTTTCAGATCTCTCCTCAATTGCCTATTTGTATCTGCCTTTACTTTTCACTTCAGGCCCTGTTAAGAGAGAAGCAGAAAACAGAAGAGCTGGAAAAGACAAAGGAAGCAATCAAGCAGTTGATCTATGATGCTGCAGTCCGCACCAAGAAGGAGGTACACGGTTACTAAATGGCTAGATGAATGCTTCTCCTAAAAATACACTCATGTAATTTGATTCGTGTGTGACTAAAGTCTGCTTTGAAGCAAGTCGCATCATTACTTAAAAGCAATAGATGACATCAGGGTATTTGCTGCCAAATCTGTATGCTTTCTTTCGAAAATGGCAATTCTGAAAATGAAAGAAAACCAAAGTTTTTGATTCATAATTAGTTTTACAAGGAGAAGTGCAACCTCCAACTGTACCTTGTGCTTAGCCATACTTTTTTTTTTTTTTTAACATATGAGGCACTAAGCTGAAAGCAAAGCCCTGCTCTTTACCCTGTGTAACCCTGGAGACATGGTGATTAATGCTCTGTTAATGGATCTTTTTCATCAAGGCCTTCAACTGTTTAATCCTATTAATGTAAAATGGTATGACTGAAGCACTAGCTGTCATCTTAGTCTCTTGCTGGCCCTCAACATGGGATGATATTCTAGAGATTAAATGTTGATGCTTTTAGACTTTTTCCAAATCATGGGGCTTTGCTTTTATCATGCCTTTGCTTACCTAGCTTACAGGTAATTTTGTCATTGAACAGTTTAAGTTTAAATATTTTAGTCAAAGTGGGTCAATGTTTTTTTTTTTTTTTTTCCTTTATTTTCTTTTTTCCTTCATTCTCATTTAAGGCAGTTCAGTCTTAAGATAAGGTCATGTAATGAAGAATTACTTACAGTTGAGAGTCAGACCTCAGACTTACCTGAAGGCATGAGAGCCACTCGAACTGATAAGTGTGAGGGAAGAAATTTTCAAAAATGGAGGCCAGAGATTACAATTAAACTGTATTCACAGTCAGCTTGCATGTAATCTGTTTTTTGACAGTTTGCAGTATTGTTTTTATGTGTCTTTAATATGCAAGTGCATTATATACTTGCATCAGGAAGGATGTATATGCAGGTGACACAAAGAAATGTCCATAGTTTAAGGCTATTGTTCTTGATTATGTAGTGAAGAATATCAGTTTAACAAAAGCAAGCAGGTAACATAAAAGTAAACAATGGCCTGATGGTCCTTTAAATGTCTGTGAAGAAGAAAATGCTTTTGATAATTTTCACTTTTAACTTTCTCACTTGAGATTTTGATGGGGATGGCATTTGTATTCAATACTTTTAGTGACTTGTCAGGAAGTAAGGCTGTGATGACTTAGCAAGATTTAGCATATTCACTGAATTACAAGGAAAGCACATAATATCATAGTAGCAGCAACACTATAAAGTGTAATTAAGAATTTGCAGCGATTGCTCCATTTTTGGTTGCTATAGTTATTGTTTTTTCTGTTTGTTTTATGACCTTTGTCTCATTATTATCTGTTGTTTCATATATACATAAATCAAGTCAGTAAATACATCACTATGTTGCTGCTTGATGTTTATTTTCATCTTGACTTTTTATGGTTTCAATCTTCAGCAAATCTAGTTTGATTTCAGTGTACTAATGTATATGACTATATTGTTCACGCATTCTTCCTTAAGTTACCAAGTGTGCTATTGAAAAGTTAAAATAGGAGTAGTCAAAGCAAAAGTCTAAACACAGACTGCTTTTCCTTATATCTGCACTTAACTCAGATGGTTAAGTTCAGGAGTTAAGCCTTTTTGTGACCATTAAAAGTCAGTCTAAGGGGAAGGAAAAGCAAAGGAGCTAAACTCCCCATATTTGAGCTTTATGACTTTATCTTTTAACAGGTGGGAAATGTTCGCAAACAGTGCAATGTTCAAATCCACCGTATGGCAGAGGAGCTGTCTGCACTGCAGCTGGTAAGAAATTGTCCAACTAAGAGGGCAAACTCATTTCAAAATCACCATAAATCCTTTTATAGCGTCTACCTGTCCACTCATTTCTGTCTCCTACCAACATTTTTTCCTGTCTCCTCTTCTTTCCGACTCTGTCTAGGAGTGTTCAGATAAAGAGTCTCAGATTGAAAGGTCCCTGCGAGAGAGAAAAGCTGTAGAGGAGGAGCTGGAGAAGGTATCTGAATTTATCAGGGGAAATGCAGGAAAGACACTGCAAAAAGTTGTTCCAGTGTTTTGATGATGTTTGATTATGTGGTTTTGTGAATGTGCTGAGGCACTGCTGATCATTTTAATAGTCTGCTGTGTTTCGTGTCAGGTATATAAGGAAGGCAGGGCAGAGCCAGAGTTCAGGAAGATTGATGCCCTTCATCAGAGGTGTCTAGATGCTGAGAGGCAGAGGGAAGACATAAGTCTCACTCTGCAAAGCACGCAGAACAAACTTAAAACGATGGAGATGGAGTAAGTGCACTATAGATTTGCTCTTCGTTATTTGATCCGTAAGTATTCTGCGCATCAGGTTTAGTGCTCTGCTTTTACTTTGCCCATTATTTCTTCCAATCTTTTACCCGTAGGTATAGCGAGGAGCTGTCACGATGCCAGGAAGAAGTGCGACGCCTGCAGAGCTCTCTGGCTTCAGCCCGCAATGACTGCATCGATGTCAGCGAAGAGCGGCTGCAACTGCAGCAGGAGAACTTTCAGCTCCGCAAGGAGATGGATGAGTTGCGCAAAGCCACCCTGCAAGTCCAGAATAAGGCCAAGCAACAGGTAAATGGGAAGGATGGGAATCGATAATGATTAATAATCCAAATTTGGGAAATTTGGGCTTCCTATGGGTCTTGGAGTTCCCATAATGCATTCTAATAATAACGATAAGAAATTGCAACCCTGCCTAATAAATGACCGCATTTAAGAAAAAAAAATCAAGAGTTAATTAATTAAAAGTTTTTCTAGCCTCATGACATTGTCTGGGATCATTTCTGAGGTATGTGTAAAATCTGTGAAATGGTCCTTTAAATAAAGTGGAATAATAAAGTGTTATATTTTTGATTAACTGCTGAAAAGCCATTGTCAGTAGTAGGATAGCTAGATATATAGCATAAAACAGGGTTTACACACAAGTGATAATGTACCATTACATAATTTATATGACCATTTAAAAAGAGTTTGAAACTGTATATAACCTCATCCCTTCAGGTATCTAAGTTGGAGCAAGAGTACAGCTTAAAGGAGCAAGAACTGGATGCACGAGTGAGGGAGCTGGAGGAAAGCAGTCGAAGTTCTAGCGCTGATCTCACTCGACTTCTTACAGCTCAGCAGAAAAGTACACAGCGATGGAAGGAAGAGGCCAAGAACCTGGTCCATGCATTTGAGACTAAAATCACGACCCTTAAGTAAGACTTTTGAAATTGTATTTTTAAGATTACTAATGCAAGGACAGAAGGGCACAAAACGAAATGTGCTTTTAAACTAAAGGGTTACAACTTCACAACTTAAATGTCAGATGACTTACAAGAAAACATGACTTTGTTTTGTACAGGACTGGACAGAGTCCTGTACAAAGTACACTCTTATTGATTCAATAGGAAATAAAAGGGAAATAGCAGCCACGTGCTGGTTGTCAAGTACACTTGATTAACTGATCAGCAAGTGTGACCACCTATATAAAAGCAGACGTTTGCTCAGGTTGGTGGTCAGGTGTGCCTTAACATAATATAACAGTCTTCCAAGGAGTGGATGCCTTGGCAAGTTCACCTGAGCTCAAACCATCAGAAAAATTGGAAAGAAGAAGAAATAAAAAGTAACACAAGAGCTACACTTCAAACTCTGCAGGCCCTAGTTACCATGGCACATGTTAAAGTTCATGAGAATATAATTAGAAATAGAATGAAAAAGTAGTGCTTGTTTGTTAAGGTTTCCTGAAGAAAGCCTCTTCCGTGGACACTTCTAGGACTGTGTATTCCTGTGAAACCTTTTTTCACATGACTAACTTACAAACTCTTCTACACTGACAACTGTGAGTGTGACTTGACTGGGTAATTACTATGTGCTTGTGCACCTCAGGAGTTGTTGCCTGACACTCTTTCATTCCTCACACAAAACTAAAGCGATTAGTTCCCATAATGCTTTAGGGTGTTGAGGTATATTACCTATATTTGTTTACATTTTAGCATGGTTCAATGAAAATTAGGTATTCTTCCACTTTTATATAGATGTACTGACATCTGTTACAGAATTCCTGTGTCACTAACATTTTAAAAGATATTTGCAAGCAACTATTTGATAAATAGCAGTAAATCTGCTTAAAATGTGAGAGAAACAAACACACGTGTAACATCCTGTGAGGCATAGTTCATGCTGAATTTAAAACTGTGCATTCTTTGTGTTCAGCATTGGCAGAGTTATGACTCAGATGGGAGCTTGAGTACCTTAATTGCTTCCATGAACTGTAGGTCATTGCTGGTGCCGCTATTGACCACGCTGATAAATGGGCCAAATGGGCAGGTCGAAACTCAATAACTGAGCTAAAGTTGGTTTCGAAACATCGGTGTGCAGCTGACCCTTTCACCTTACACAGCATACTTTGCCTGTATCTCTGGCTGCTTCTGCTGTAGAAAAATTTGAAACAGTGGGTTGTTTTAAAAATGAAAAAGAATGAAATTGGAAAAAGAAATATTTAATACAGCAGTCTACAAAATGAAATAAAAAGTTTTAATTAAATGTAAAGAAATATTCTCAGTTTGACACTTTACAGTTTCATCTGTAACAGTGAAACAAAGTTTAAGTAACAGATACATTTCAACAGCAGCTGAAACAAAAGTTGACTTGGCCCTCACTGACAGATGGTTGGACTCGTCTTTTTAAAATGTTCATTTCAGGGCTGAGCTGAATCGACAGAAGCAGCGTTCACGTGAGCTGGAGGCGCAGCTTCAAACTGACCATGACACAATTTCTGAGGTTTGAGCGACACACAAACACACACTAGAGATTATTGTAAGAGAAAAATGAAACTGGCCATTTCTCAAATAATTCTTGTATTATATGTGAATGACTTTGTCTTTTTCTTTAAGCCTGTTAATAGGTGTTAGCCTCTGCAGATGTCAGGCCTTCGCAGCAGCTAAGAAAAATGTCAGCGCTCTTTAACAACTCAGTGATTCTAGAAGTTCTAGGAGTTTATGTTGTAGAATTTGCTTTCATCTTATGAGCTCAAACCTGATGTTTGAGAGCAGTTTTTCTCACGTAATGCACAGATGCAGCAAGAATAATTTAAAGAATGTACCATGAACTGAAACAGCTTGGGTTTGTTCAGAAACAAATGAATTGCACTGATGTTGTCAAGATTTTGCATATTTTTAAAATGCAAAGCTTGCATCTGTGAACAGCAGCCTGAAAACAAGTGTGTCTGCGGTAATGGAAAATGATAATTCCACCATATGTTCCTTGGTACTTTAGTACTTAAAAAAAGCAAAAGGTTTAACACTGAGACATTTGTGTTTTACTCCATGTGTAACTAATTGATACATGTTTTGTGCAGTATGAGAAGCAGCTAGCGGAGTATCAAGAGAAGACTAGTCGTCTCCAGAGACGGCTGACGCAAGCGGAACAAAGGGCAACTACTGCTTCACAGCAGGTATGGGTAACTAATCTAGTGTGCTGGTCCCTGTGATGGGCTGCCATCGTGAGAGTCGTGCTAGGAGAAATATGTGTTTTTACTATCCCTTTGTTGTCTGATTGAAAACTGATATTATTTGTGGTTGTGCTCGTTTCATTTTACTTTTTGTTTTGTTTTTTTCTAATAGCTGAATAGGTTGCAATCTCAGCGAAGAAAAACAGCCTCGGTGGATCTAGAGCATGTCTAATGTGGCACAAGAAAGCACTGCTTTCATGTTTTCCATTCTTTTTGTGTACCAATGCTATATGAAAAATGAATTTTTCATTTTGTTATAAAAAATAAAACTAATTTAAAATAATCTTTTTTGTGTGGGTGTGGCGGATTTATTAATACTTACATTTTTGTGTCTTAAAATGGCTGTGGTCATGTGTTAAAGTGTTGATACTTTAATATTGAGGCTTTTTTTTTCCCTCAGATTTGACTCGTTTTTTTAATGCATATTGTTTTTATGTTCCACTAACTATTTAAATAAAAAGTGAAGCGCTTTCTTCAAAATAACTTCCTGGATGTGTTTCAAGATGGGTACCGAGTAGCAAAAGTTGTTTAGAGAAGGACTTTGGTGGCGCCACAGGCTGTATGTAAAGTGATCAGATCCCATTTCAGTTCAGTTTAATTTGTATAGCACCAAATCACAACAGTCCCACGAGGCGCTTCATATTGTAGGCATAAATGTAAGAAACCGTACATTTTATGGTTTTATGCAGTAGCCTTTGTGCACTTGTGTGTTTCCTTTGTCTTCTACAATAAGGGTTAGCTGTTATATCAGTTGCTCCCCCGTCCATCAATTATAGGGACATGCCCAGAGATTTGCCAAACCTCAGCTGTGAGAAATTAATATACTGACAAAGATTACTGATTGATTGAATGAAATGTCCAGTCCCAAATTGTCTTCATGGGCTCACAAGTCACTATTATAATTGCATCTGCAGATATTAAATGACAACTCCTTAGGGCAATTTTACAGATGAAATACAAATTCTAATTCCTTCTCAGCAACATATAGATGAGGGGGAAAAGATAACCGAATACATTATCTCAAAAGTGTGTGGACTTCATATCAGTAATTATACAAATATTATATAAACTGTAGTAGAAGTTGCATTTACATTTATCTGTTAAATATTCTGTTTTGCACCCACATATGAATCAAAGCCACTCAAATGTTTCTTGATCTCAGAAACCTTTGGTGTAAAACACAGCAAGGGCACAGTTAACATAACCAATAAAACAAACAAGACGCACTCTGAGAGAGGAAACTTCTGCCAAGTCAGCTCACTCTGGGCAGTATTTACTTTTAAGGGATTAGTATTAAAATTTTATATATTCATTTTGTTTTCTTTGTTCTTTTTAAAAATACTTTAACATTTTTGTAGTGCATTAAAAATCCGATAAGAGTAGCCTGACAGATAGACATGTACAAGTAGGTCATGGATAATAGTTATTAATTTGTAAGTAACTGGACATAAATAAGTTAAACTTATTATAATATATAAAGTAAATTTCTAAGTAACTAGATATCTCGTTCTCTTGAAAATACTTTTTTTTTAAAGATCTAACACATTTTGGGGTCAACTTGGAAGAAGGGCAGATATGAAATGTTAAAGTGAGATCAGAGGTCTGGATGCAAACTATAATGTGATACTTAGAATCCACATATATCAATCATCATTTTGTAAATGTTGCAATACAAATTTTTAATTTTAAGGATAGTTTTAAGTGGTCATTACATTACAAATCATTTTTTTTATGTTGACAATACACAACACAGAATCGTAGTTTCAGAATCAGAATACTTTATTGATCCCTGGGGGAAATTATTTTTTGTTACAGTGCTCCATTATAAACCAACATTAAGACAAGACAGACAATACACTAACTAAGAATAGTACAATATATACATATATATACATACATACATAGGTCACTCATAAATAAATAGCTGAAAAAGAAACATGCGTAGCTGTTCTAGGTTATACAGCTTTTTGTCAATTTCCAATGAGTAACTCAATGAATTAACCTTGAAGACCTTGGTGGTTGAATCAGAAACAAAATACTTTATTAATCCCAGATGAAATTTTGTAAGCCAAATTTTAATGGACTGTTAACATGACTACACTATGCCCCTGCAAGGTTTTATCAGAATTCACTAAAATGCTACCAGAAACATAACCTACTTGGCAGATAGGTTCATGGTAATAACTTTAGTGGTGCATACATAGGCAGGTTGGCTATTTCTTCCTGCATTCTACTAAACAAAGCTGTTTTGGCTGCGGAGTCACATTTAGCACTCTATCAGACACGCCAGCTTTCTTTCAGGAAATTAATGTTTATAGGAGAATATACATGGATACAAAAAGGTATTCAAGAAATGCCCTATAGTTACCCGATGTTGATGAAGCACTTCTAATGAGTAACACACGTGTTTACTATGCTGTCTCATGGTACCTCCAAAGATATCCTTATCTTGGGAAGCACAGAGGATGTCCAGGTTGTAATGCGTAGCACTCTTATGCAGGCTATTGTAAAACAGCAGCATTGTTTCAGATTTGTAATTGCGTATCCTTCGTGCCTCTGTGTTTGTTTTTGTGTGAAAGTACTCCTGGATGACAGCATTATCCGTGCGTGTGCAGTAGCATCTTCATGCTTTGTAGTTCGCATCAAGCAGAGGGTGGACAAATTGCTAAGACAGCTGATCCTCTTTAACCAAACATTGGTAAAGGCTATAAAAAAAAGAATAGATTGATCTTTAATTTGGCTCTAAGTGATTCTTGTCTTAGTAGTAAAGGCTTGTATACTTTTTAAATGCAGATGTGCTTTGATTCACATTGACTCTACCCTTAAATGCTAAACAGCAGCTCTCCCTAGTGGCTACAGAAAAAAAACAAAATTGCAAAATATATCCATTTTCAAAGTTCACTGAGTTCAGTAGTTGATGTAATGGAACAGTTCTGTGGTAACAGTGTTCTGTCTTTTTATTAATTTCCAATACATTCTTAATTTTCTGTCTGCTCACATTGTCCCCACTGTCTTCTGTTCCAATCTATTTCTTATCTATTTCTTATTTTCCATCCTTTATTACCTTCTCTCCAGGATGATTGGCTCACATGCCAAAGAAACTGGTTATACCTAGGTATCTTTTTGGCTGCAGACATCAAGAGGCAACTGCCTGCTGAGTCAAATATGTTTCTCAAGGTTGGGAAGTCCTGGAAAGAGATTGTGGCTAAAGTTAATAAGATACCCAATGACCTTAAAGCAGCCACACAGTGTGGTATTTTACCAAACAGAATGCATAGAAATTAGGCATAGGCATGTTAATGCTGAAAGAGAAAGAAACATGAAAACATATATGCATTTATGCAAGTGAATATATTAAGACAGCACACATGCCTTGTTTATATCCCAAACAGATCTGTTGGCGACTGTTTAGTGGAAAATGCTCTTTTAATGAGCTACAGAAGTGTCTAGAAGCTTACCTGGAGTCCAAGAGCATCATCTTTCCCAGGATATTCTGCACACATCATTTGTTTGTTACACACGACAACAGCAGACCTTTACAAAGTACTCTTTTTATATTATTGAAACATTTTCAAACAGCATCTTTTTTGTTTTTACAATCCCATTTCCAAAAGTATCAAGAGGTTGTGTAAAATGCAAATAAAAACCGATCTTTGTTTATCCTGAGAATTTTTTCTATTTTATGAGAAAATTAGCACATTTTGAATTTTATTGCAGGAACATGGCTCCAAAAAGTTGAGACCAGGGTAACAAAAAGCTGGGAAAGTAAGTAGTACTAAAATAATATAAAGTATAAAAAATCGCATCTTTAGTTTCTCAGAAGTAAAGAAGTAAATGGAGGAGTCAGCTGAACAGCAAGAACAAGATCCGGGCTATCAACACCTATGCCCTGCCTGTGATCAGGTACCCTGCTGGGATAATAAGCTTGCCAAAGGAGGAGATAAAAGCCACTGACATATTCAATTAAATTTTATTTATATAGCGCCAAATCACAACAAAAGTCGCCTCAAGGAAACACAAGGAAGCTCCTGACCATGCATGGATGGTTTCACCCCAGGTCCAGCACTCTGAGGCTGTATGCTAAGTGGAAGGAAGGAGGCTGGGGACTAGTGAGTTTCAGGACCACAGTCCAGGATGAGGCAACATCCACAAATGCATCAGGAAGATGGCTCCAACCAACTGCGTGCTCAGTGAATATCCCAGGCAGCAGAAATCCAAGAAAGAGGAGGAACCATCATGGAAGGACATGGTATGTATCGCCGGCAGATAGAGGAGGTGGCTGATATCCAGACATCCTTCCGGTAGCTGGATGAAGCTGGACTGAAAGACAGCACAGAGGTACTAATCATGACAGCACATTAGCAAGCTCTGAGCCCAAGATCCATCTACCACACCAGGCAAGACCTCAGGTGCAGCCTGTGTAAAGATGCCCCTGAGACAATCCAGCACATAACAGCAGGGTGCAAGATGATAGCAGGCAAGCCATACATGGAACGCCATATCCAAGTGGCCGGCATAGTATACAGGAACATCTCTGACAAGTATGGACTGGAAGTCCCGAGGTCAAAATGGGAGATGCCTCCAAAGGTGGTGGAGAATGACCAAACTAAGATCCTGTGGGACTTCCAGATACAAACGGACAAAATGGTGGTGGCTAACCAACCAGATATAGTGGTGGTAGACAAGCGGAAGATGAAAGCCGTAGTGACTGATGTAGCGATACTGAATGACAGCAACATCAGGAAGAAGGAACACGAGAAGCTGGAGAAGTACCAAGGGCTCAGAGAAGAGCTTGAGAGGATGTGGAGGGTGAAGGTAATGGTGGTCCAAGTGGTAATTGGAGCACTCGGTGCAGTGACTCCCAACCTAGGCGAGTGGCTCCAGCAGATCCCAGAAACAACATTGGAGATCTCTGTCCAGAAGAGCGCAGTCCTGGGAACAGCTAAGATACTGCCCAGGACCCTCAAACTTCCAGGCCTCTGGTAGAGGACCCAAGCTTGAAGGTAGACTGAACAATCAGCCGAGACTGCAAGACCAGACTGACCAACCTGTGCATTGCCTGGATTTATTACAAGAAGGCCTATGACTCAATGCCCCACATATGGATCCTGGAATGCCTAGAACTATAAAAGATCAACAGGACCCTAAAAGAGCCTTCATCAGGAACTCAATGGGGATGTGGCGCACGACACTAGATGCCAACTTCAAAGCCCATAGCACATGTCACCATCAGGTGCGGGATCTACCAAGGAGATGCTCTGTCCCCATGTATGC